TCTGCCTGTTCTGCTCCCCACTCTGTTTCTGGTGAATCCTCTCACCGCCCCTGCACCTCTGGCCTGTACCCCAGTTCTGTATGCCTAAATAAATATATCTTTCAAAAAAAATCGTAAAGGGAAACTCACCTGAAGGAGCAGGAAAAGGCGGACCACCCAGGCGCTATGCCCGAAGAGATGGCCAGAACTTTTCCAGATTTGGTGAGCCCCCTTCTCCTTCAGCAATCTGCCTGCCTCAGCGTTTTCAATGGGGTATGCTACTGATGTTGGTGAGTTTCAGGTTTTATCAAATGTCTCTTTGTTTTCTATCTTTGGAATGCTACAACAGTAAGTGCTGAACTGTAGTGATGTGGGACTTTTTATTCATGCGCTATTTGTCATTGTCAATGCTCTATGATATGAACTTTCTAAACTTACATACATACACATACACAACAACTCTGATGAATATACAGAAACAAGGGGGAAGCATTTAGGATGTTACCTGAAAATGCACAACACAAAATAATACATGGTTTGCAAAATATGCCAATCTCTCGTGGGGAAGGAAAGAGGCTAATGTAAAAACAGTTGTCTGTCAACATAGTTGGTTCCAAATGTCTTCCTCCCCTTTAAAAATAAATTGAACATGGGCACTCCCTGGTGGCACAACGGTTAAAGTGCAGCACTGCAAAGCTGGCCACAGCCACCTTGGTAGGAGTTCGATCTCCATCCCGGAGGTGACCCACATGGCGCAGCGACCTCTCCTGACCCGCCCGCTGCTCCCCTCAGCAGTGTACTTCATCTATCTGCCTGTTCTGCTTCCCACTCCGTCTCTGGTGAATCCTCTCACGGCCCCTGCACCTCTGGCCTGTACCCCAGTTCTGTGTGCATAAATAAATCTTTAAAAAAATAATAAACTGAATGATTGTAACTTGTCATCTCAATGTCCTTTTCCCCCCACCCTTTCAAATGCAGTTTTTTAAACAAGGAATTTTAAGGGAAAAAAGTCATTCTCATCACTTTTGTGCTTTAGGGAGTTGGGACAGGAGAGAATTCTCTATACTGTTTTCTCATTATAAATTGTTTTTAAAAGCAGTATCACTAATTTTACCCTCCAGCATTCTAATTTAGTTACAATAATGTTCTAGGGTTTCTAAGGTAAAAACAAAATTCCCAGGCCACAAATTACTTATCAAATATCTGCCATCCTCACCAGCTTTGCACATCATCGAAGCCAGCAACTTAGAAACAATGGAGCCTCTTTTTCTCATCTTGCACTGCTTGCTGTATGGAAAGTAGGGAATCACCCCAATGATGCTCTTGGCACAGGAGGTCTTACAAGCATAGACCATAATCAGGAGCTCCATGATGGTTGTGTTGACGTCCCTGTAGCCCCAAAGAAAAGCCCAGAAAGAAATGTTAAGACACAAGACAATCTCTCCCTGTTCCAACAAAGAAGCAGCAATGTGCTGCTCTCTCCAAGACTGAAGGCTCAAGACACTTAAAAAAGAAACCAGGTCTCTCCCTGGTGGTGCATCGGGTTAAAGGACCGCATTATGAAGCTCTCCAAAGCCGCTGCAGCACAAGTTCGATCCCCACCCTGAAGTGACCACATGGCTGGCAGAGCTCTCCTGACCCGCCCACTGCTCCCCTGGGCAGTGTATTTCAGTACAGCTACCTGTTCTGCTCCCCACTCTGTCTCTGGTGAATCCTCTCAACTACCACATGTCTGGCCTGTACCCCAGCTCTGTAAGAGTAAATAGATAAATCTTAAAAAAAAAAAAAAAAAGGAAACCAATGAATTCCTGCCTTCTCATGATGGGGGCCCCATCAGTCCCCCACCACAGCCTTCCTCAGTCTACGACCCTATTTCCTTTTTCATTGGGAAAAGCACACTGAGGAGCTTCCACGCCACACCCCTCCCCACACACGCATCTATAACCTTCCAGTCAGCCTTCCTCCAGGATCAGAGAGGAACTTGCCACACCAAAGTCACCCCGCATGAGCTCTGCTACATTTCTCTCCTCCCCAAGCCCTCCTGCCTTATGGAGGACATGGCTACAGCCATCTACCCTCCCTTAATTCTGTCATCAATTTGTTACATTCCCCCTGCTCACATCTATCAGTCTATGTCATTTCTTCCATTGAAAAAGAAACTCAGGACCACAAATTCACTACCGTTTTTCTTTGCCCCCCTGTGTAGAATGCCTCAATGGAGATGCCCACATTCTGAAAGAGCACATGTGGAGGAACCAGCTGTGAGTGATAGTTAAACCAAGGTTCCCAACTATGCCCCCAGGAACAGCATTTTTCATGAGCTGAAACAAGGCTTTCCATCACTAAACTTAAACAATAAAAATCTCTGACTGAAAAAAAAAAATCTCTGACTGGCAGGAAAAGAATAACTGAATGGACTAATTTTTTTTAAAGTTTTCATAAATTACCATTATTTTACATCCTAGTTAATTTTTGACAGTGTAAGGATTTCTCCCCTGAGAAATTCTCCCTGGGTAGCCCTCCCACCACCAAAGCACCCGTAGGATTCCTCCACCACCTGCCCTCACCTCCAACCCTGTCCTCACTTCTCCTCTCCCTCCTGGATGCCTCAGCCCTATGGTCAGTTTTCCTGACCTTTTGTTTGGCTTCTCTATATTCTACACTAAGTGATACCATCTGGTATTTATCATTCCCCTTCTCACTTATTTAGCATAACCCCGTCCAGCTTCATCTATGTTGCCACCGATGGCACGAATTGATCTTTTTTGATCACTGATATACCACATCTTCTTGATCTGTTCATCTGTTTTGGGGCATTTAGGCTGTTTCCACATCTTGGCTATTGTAAACAGCATTGTAGTAAACAAAGGGATGCAGGTTTCTTTCTGAATCAGTTTCTGTGTCCTTTGGGCAGCTCCCTAGGAGTGGGAATTGCTGGGTCATATGGCAGATTTACTTCAGTCTTTTAGGAACCCCCACACAGCTTTCCATAGTGACTGGTAGGCAGAATTTTTAATTACATTTTTTTCTTATTCATCTAGTGCCTACCTACCACTAGATGGTACTAAAATGAAGTATAAGATACATCTGACCAAACCAAATTTTAATGTTAACTATTTCACAAAGAAAACCGGGACATCCTGGATTTCTGCAGTCTAGCTACAATTACAAATCCCTGCTCTAGCATAGGCCTACAACACCGTATAGAACAATGCAAAATGAGACAAGAGAGAAAATTAGGGGGTGGTTTTGGCAAGCAGGCTAGGGAACTGCCAAAAGGGCTGGTTATGTATCTGAAAGAAATGAAAAGAGATTTCAAGGAGACGAGCACTCTTATTCAGGAGAGCCTAGGAAAGGAAACAAACTAAATGCCACAAGATGGGTGAGCAGGTAACAGACATGTGGGCTATCATACAGTGGAATGTTATTGGCTGTGAGAAGACGAGAGCCTCGTCCTGCCATTGGCAACAATATGGATAGAACCTGGGTGCTTCATGCTAAGTGAGAAAAGCTAGAGGAAGATAGTACCAGTTACACATAAAACCGAAAAAGTCAAACCAATAGAAAACAGTAAAAGGGGGATGGGAAGACAAGATTAATATTTAGGGTATAAACTTGCAACAGGTAGTAAACTAAGCCAAACAGAGCTAATAAAATGAATAGAGGCAATATTACATACTTACATAAAAATCACTATGATAATGATATATAAATGTCCTAAAGTAACACAGTTGCACACCATAAATTTACAATGTTCAATGAAAAAAATAGCAAAAAATCTCTACTTTTAATACTTGGTTATTTCCACCCTTCTTAACACTCAAAAAACACCGAGGTAGCAGGTATGTCAGAAAAATTAAGGGAGTGGGTCCTCCCTGATGGCACAAGGGGTTAAAGTGTAACACTATAAAGCTTTCTACAGCCACTGCAGCAGGAGTTGGATCCCTGGCCAGGGAGCTGACCCACAAGGCTCAGCAGACCTCTCCTGTCTCACCCGCTGCTCCCCTCCACAGTGTACCTCAGAAGATCTGCCTATTCTGCTCCTCTGGTGAATCTTCTTACCCCTGCCCACCTCTGGCCTGTACCCCAGTTCTTGTTTGCATAAGTAAGTAAATCTTTAAAAAAGAAAAATTAAGTAAGGTATGCTCACTGTAACACTACCTTAATCTTCTTTTTTTTTTTTTTTTTTTAAAGATTTATTTATTTGTGCATACAGAACTGGGGTGCAGGCCAGAGGCTCAGGGGTGGCGAGAAGCTTCACCAGAGACAGAGTGGGGAGCAGAACAGGCAGATCGACGAAGTACACTGTTGAGGGGAGCAGTGGGCGGGCCAGGAGAGGTCTGCTGCACCATGTGGTCACCTCCGGGGCAGGCGGGAATCGAACTCATGCGGAAGCGGCTTTAGATTCTCAGTGCTGTGCTTTAACCCACTGCGCCACCAGGGAGAGCCACTATCTTAATCTTCTTATCTAACAAACTCATTATTCTAAACACTCATGTCCAAACTAAAACCCAGAAAGCTACACACTTCTATGGGATAAATACTCACTTTGAAATAGTCTGGATGATGAAAACATCTTTTCCCCTCACGGATTCTTGGATTTGTACTCTTGTTTCTGGCAGAAAAGGGGGAAAAAAGAGGAGGGATAAAGAAAGCATATCATTTACATTTTTAAAAATATATCAAAAACCCACATCTTACCCCAAAGTCACAATAAATATGGAAATGGAATTGTTACAAAAAGCATTAGGATTTCAGTGTTACAAGTGATAATAAACATACTGCCCATTAAACTTTCTAAACATGCTTAGTTTTAATCACATGACACGCAGAAGCGGGAATTACATTGCTGACTTAAAACAAGTAAATCTGTCCTTCACAATTTTTGTGCATGAGCAATGAGAGCTGAACCCACTCTTACAAGAAATGATATACTCATCCACCTAACCAGTAACAATTAAGAATTATTAGGGCCTTCCTGGTGGCACATGGAGTTAGATCTTGGCACAATGAGGCTGTTGCCAGCCCCTGCAGCACAATTCAATTCCCAGCCAGCCCTGGCCCACGTGGCGCAGCAGACCTCTCCTGTCTCACCTGCTGCTCCCCTCAGCAGTGTTTCAGTCCATCCACCTGTTCTGCTCCCCACTCTGTCTCTGGTGAATTCCCTTACACACACTCCACACACCTTTGGCCTACACCCATGTTCTTGTATGTATAAATAAAAATCTTTTTTCAAAAATCACTAAGCACACATCTTAGAATGCTGTGAGAATCAACACCACAACAGCCAATATCTATACTCTCAAAAAATGTATGACCAGTCCCAGAGAAACAATCAGAGAATCCAGAGTGGGCCATTCTATTAGACAACCTCTTCAAAAAGTCAACATAATGGGAAGAAAAGAAAAAAAAGGTATCTGGACACTTACAGATCACAGAAACCAAAAATCAAAACAAAAAATAAACATATATTAAGGCTCTTTAAGACATCTATGGAAACTGGAATATAGAATAGCTCTTAAATGACTGAAGAACTTGTAGTTTCATTAAATGTATCAACAGTGTTTACTTATATAGGAGAAAGTCCCTATTTTTAGAAGATGTATGGTCACATACTCAGGGCTTAAGTGTCCATTTTTGCTACTTATTTCAAGTGGTTCCACATATACACAGTCACAGTAAAACATTACATAATCACACTGCAAAATATTAAATAATGACTCCACGTGGTGCTTGGATACTTATGGCTATTATACTATTCTTCCCGCCTTTTTTAATCTTTGAACATTTTCACTAAAAATGTTGGGGGGAGGAAACCTGCAATAAAGTAGTGAAATAAGCCCTATAGAGCTAATAGAGTGACTAGAGTTAACAAGTAATACAGGAATGTAGTACCATGGGAAAAAAAAATGAGTTTCAAGGCAGGAAGCTCTGGATTAGAATCCTGACTCTGCTGCCCTGGGACACTGCACCTAACACCATCCCCAAGCTCAATTTTCAGTACCTGGTAAGTAAGAGTCAGGAATCTATAAAGGTTAGTTCCCTCCTTCCTTTCCAAGAGACACCAAGTGAGGTCCTCCTCTCACTCACCAGCCTGGAGAGTGAACCAACCTCCTCTGAACTTCCAGCACACCTCTCTCATTTAGCTAAAGCCCTCCCTTCCAGACCAGACATCGCCCAGCTCTCTTCATCAGCAGAATCTTCTCCAAACTCTCCTTGCATATTTTCTTTAATGACACTGTTTTCTTACTAAAGCCACATGGGGATCTTGGCAGAGAGGAAAGGAGGCAGTGATGGAGAAACAAATAGGGGAAAGACTAAGTTCTCCTTTTCCTCAAAGACTCTTGTAAATTCTTTAATATTTTGATACTTGACAAAATCCTATCATGGAAAAGGAGAGGGAATTCATATTTAATGAGCAACTACTCAAGTACTGTATGGCACGAAAAATCATCCCACTCAGTCCCCAATTTGCTGACTAGAAAGATTAAACAACCTGCCAAGGATAAGCCGAGGGACTCTCAAGTCCATGCAAGCTGTCCTCTCATACTCCTGCTGGAATGGCCAAAGAGCATTTCTAAAGCAATTACAAGGATTAAGTAACACACAGTTTTTACAAGTTGGGGTGTTTATTATATAGATAATTAACAAAAAGCATTTCCTCACAAGATTTCATAAAGTCCAACCCATAGCAGTTTACATGCAGATGAATAACAACTAAAACTGGCTGCACGGTATTTACTCACCTGTCTAAGGTGACAGAAATTCCATCAATGACTGAGCTAATGTCCCACGCAGCAGATGGTCAGCCAGTGTGTGTGTGTGTGTGTGCATGCATGTGTATGGTTTTAATTGGACAAGGCCTAGGAGCTAGAATTGAAGGCCCCAGATCTGACTTACCCCAGGGTTCTATGCCTAACTTGTATTAGTGAGAGCTAACACCACTCTCACCCCTTTGCCAGCCTCACTTCCTGTTCCCAGGCCTAGCTGCATGCCAAGCCCAGTTGTCCCAACAGTGGAGAATGCGCGCTGAGAGAGTATGCCATATTCCACAAAAAGATCGGTATTATACGTGTCCAAGAGAGCTCACCTCTGTTAGGTTCCTGGTAAACCTGCACTTTGCCCATCTCCACCCCCAGCCGCCTGGAGAAAGGAAGAAAAAGTTGAAAAGGTAACAGAACAGATTTAATATCTTTACTGCTTGAAGATGATTCATAAATTGATAAAAACAAAACAGCAAAATAAAATAAAATTTAGAGTGGGTATTAATTTGTTGTCACTTCATTACTTACTATCTCACCCAACCCCATGTCTACCTAAGAAGGCCTACATCAGCCCCTCCGCCTCACTGACCATTTCCTCATGCTCTTTAAACTCCAGCCACCTTCCTGGGATTCACCAAAACTTCCCCACACCCCCCTGCACACCACAGGGCCTTTAAACCTGCTGCTGCGTCTGCTGATAGCTTTGCCCCCAGACTTTCATTCACTGGTTCCTTCAATTTCTCAGCTCACATACCACCCCTTGATTTAAAAAGCATCCTAGTGCCCACGCTACAGCCGAGCCGCCTGCCCCATCCCTCCGCTCACGCAGTTTTCTTCGTGGCATTTAAACTATCTGAAGTTATCGTTTGTTTTGACTTGCTTCTCTTCTGGTTCCCCTACTAAACGTAAGAAGGCTCCTTCTTGGTACTGCATATTCACTGTTTATGCCCAACATCTAGGTAAAGTCTACTTCATAATAGGGGTTCAAATTTTACTTAATAAATAACTAAAATTATGTCAAACTATAATCTATAACTATTTTCATTATACTCGCTTTATACTTTCTTCAGTACATAGCAGTACCTGACAATCTCTGACATTCATGAGGTATTCAATAAGTACCTGTTGAATGAGGGCCTCCCAGGGGTTAAAGTCTCGTACTGTCAAGCTATCCCCACTCACTGCGGCATGAGTTCGACCTTTGGTGAGGCAGCTGACCCACATGGCACACCAGACCTCTCCTGTCTCTCCCACTGCTTCCCTCAGCAGTATAGCTTAATAAATCTGCCTGTTCTGCTCCCCACTCTGTCTCTGGTGAATCCCTCACACAGAAGCCCCCCAACCCCACAGCACCTCTGGTCAACACCCCAATTCTTCTACACAAAATGAGTTAAATAAATCTTTTAAAAATAAATGTCTATTGGAAAAATAAATAAATAAATAAATGTCTATTGATAAATATGTATGGAGTTATAACAGTTTTAAAAAGATTAGCCCTTCATAGATAGGTAACACAAAGATTAATCACAGAATATTTGCTGTAACCATCAGTGCTAATCTGATTATCAAATTTAAAACATCACACAACGAGAACAGATTTTACTGGTCTGGTTATAACTCACTCAGCAATTTTCTTTGAAAGCTCCATACATGATGAATTAGAATTTGCTGAAAACAACACCAGACCTCCCTTAGTTACGTTCATCTTGGTTTCTAATTCAGGTGGCGCCACACAAAACATCAAAACCTTCTTGGTTTTCCAATTCTCAGAGCCTAGAAGGATACAAAAACATCAAGAACTGCCAAATGAGATTATATCAACCTGGATGGATTTTTTTTTTTAACTAGCAAATGAGTTTAGCTAAATGAAATTCGTTTTCACCGTAACAGTCTCTGATATTTAAGTAATAGATGAATAGAAAGTTTATTTGGATCTCAGGGCATCAAATTTATAGAAATATGTTACCAGATAACTGAACTAGTTTTCACAACCACTGAGAATAAATGATAAACTTACAAGAAAGGCGGAGCTGAAGAGCTCAGTGTTTTACTGTTTGCTGCTTAAAGTCAATTACGGACAACCTCCTTTTATTCTCTGACAACAAAATTCCTCCTGGATTAACACACAGAAAAATGGCAGAGCCATTAGCAAGGATATGGGTTGACTGATCCTTAAACGATGAATAAATGACCCATCTAGGCCCACCTTTCCCATGATACTTGCGTACTGTAAACACTCCCCCTTTCCTGGCCTGGTAGCTGCCTCTTGGATTCCCTGGGCCATCTCTAACGCTGACATTGTTGTCTGCATTTTTCTCAACGGGAACACAAGGTAGAATCAATAACATCCTTGAAAGAAAGTGACCTACCAAGTGGCAGGCAGCAGGGCACAACCATGGCCTAGAAGTTAGCAACTGAGGTTCGAAGCCCTCCCGCTGCCCAACTACTACATTTTCTTCCGCCTCCACTGTCTGGACTGAGCGCCTTCGACATGCAGGGAGACTGCAGACTGGATGAAAGAGCCAGGCCAGCGTAGGCAGTGGGGGTCAGCCCACTGCATTGTCTCGGTTGGTTATTTACTTGGCATGGGAGAGCTGGAGATCACACATGGGCTGGAAGCCATGTAGATCATTTTTGTTATTCTTAAATTTTAATTACACATAATATAAAAATACATTCTCCTTATAGAAAACAAACAAGATAGTTACGGCTAAGACCACCAGCCCTGATCCCAGCCTCTCTCCATCCACCTCCCCAGGCCTTAGTAGTTTAGTATGGACACCATTCCCATGAGTGACACCACCCCCATAAAAAATAATGTATGAAAAATATATTTGTGACATTAAAAGTATCATTGTGGCCCTCCCTGGTGGCGCAGCGGGTTAAAGCATTTCACTGAGAAGCTAAAGCCACTTCAGCATGAGTTTGATTCCCGCCTGCCCCGGAGGTGACCACATGGCGAGGCAGACCTCTCCTGACCCGCCCGCTGCACCCCTCAGCAGTGTACTTCGTCGATCTGCCTGTTCTGCTCCCCACTCTGTCTCTGGTGAAGCCTCTCACTGCCCCTGAGCCTCTGGCCTGCACCCCAGTTCTGTATGTACAAATAAAATTTTAAAAAAAGTATCATTGTACAAACCTATCTATAATCTGCATTTCTGTTAAACAACATATTTTGACAATCTGGGCTGGGAAGCACAGACCCAACTTGTCCTTTGTAACTGCCGCCCAGTAGTGCGGGTGCAGACATCCCACATGTACGAGGTGGCACTCCAGAAAGGTGTCCTTGTGCACAGTACACGTCTCTCTGCGGTCAAGGCAAGAAAGGAACCCCTGGGTCACGATGTGGTCCAAGTTATGGTCCCACCAGCAGACTAGGGGAGTGTAATTCCCCACACTGCACCTCTTAAGGGGCACCCACAAACGGAAACATGGGGCACTACAGTGGAAGGTACCCAAAGCCTATGAATTATAAATAGGAACATTTACCACACTGACACAAGACCTCATGTCAAGGAAGACCACTGCAGCCACCATGGAAAGTAGCTTCAGCTCAGCGATGAGCAAACTGGAGCCCTCAGGCCCAACCCGGCCCCCCTCAAGCTACTTCTATAGAGAAAACTGCATTGAAACTTACAGCTATCCTCGTTGTTTATAAACGGCCTATGGAGTCAATGGCAAAGCTGACTATGGCTCACAAAGCCTAAGTATTTATCTGGCCCCATACTGAGAAAGTCACTGAGTCATTTCACAGCATAGTGTCAGGCAGTGGCTGGTATACATGAAAGTAACACATTTAATCACCATTACTCAAAGTTGGAAGTGACCTTCAGTGTCTTCTAACACCAGCTCACAGCCAGCCTTGGTGTTTGGGAGCAGTGGGTGCTGGTCTAGGAAAGGCTTTGAAGTCACTCATGTTGGCATCTTGGCTCCTCCACCTGCCTGACTCACTGCAAAGCCTGTAAGTTACTTAGCTTCTACAAGCCTTGTCACATCTATGAATATTGATTTCTCAGGCTTATACAAAATTAATTTCTGTAGCACACTTAACACAGTGCCCCATGTAACAAGAGATGTTTGGCAAATGGAAGCTACATATGAATCAACTTCATGTTATGGTTAATCCCAAACAAGTACAGTAATATGCATGGGGCATGCATCTTTTCACATTGCCAACCTTCAAATAAGAAGCTACTTAAAGTGCCATCAGCATGTTTGGAAGGACTTAGGACACTTAAAATGAAGTATCTTAGGGTTAAAAAGAGATCTGAGAGGCAGTTTGACCATCTAAGAAATTCCTGCCAAGGAACCACTCCAAATGTATAAAAAGCCTGAGACTGCTGCCCATTTCCTGAGAGCCCATTCTTCCAATTCTTCCTTAGAATGCACTAAGACCTCGCTCCCTGAAAGGCTGTGTGGAGGTTCCTCAAAACACTAAAACTGGATGTATCATATGATCCAGAACCCCCTTCTGGAGTCTACCCAAGGAACACAAAAGCACTAATTCGAAAGGAAGCCTGCACGCCTATATTTACTGCAGCACTATTTACAATAGACAAGATATGAAAACAACCTAAGTGCCCCAAAACAGATTAATGGATCAAGAAGATGCAGTATGTATACACATGGAATGTTACTCAGCAGTGGACAATGATAAACAAAATGGCCATTTGTAGCAGCACGGATGGAGCTAGCTGCAAGGGTCTATGCTAAGCAAAATAAGTCAGAAGGAAATACCAGATGGTTCCACTCGGTTGTGGAATATAAACAAACCAAGCAAAGGGTCAGAAAAAAGCTGAACATAGATCTGAGGCTCACAGCAGGGGACATGAGGGGAAAGGGGCCAAAATAGAGACTATGGTGATGGATCATGGGTGCTATGGTGGTGGGAGAACTACCTGAGGGGAGAAATCAAACACGGCCTAAAAATTTTTTCTTACACGGTAAGAAAAAAATAAATTTAATTTTAAAATAAAAAGCTCTCCCAGAAGCCTCCACCCAATGGTCCTTTCCTTTCCTCAAAGACTTATGGGAAGTATCAAATTCCTTTTCTGTAAGGAGGCCTTCAACCTTTCTCAAGGTGGTTCTCTTGCCTCCATGTAGTCTCTTCTCCACATTATTTCCATATGGGTTATGGTTTATGTTCCCTTCATCACCCTGAGTGAGGGCTTTAGCAACCTAGTCTCTAATCAAAACATAAGACACCCTCAAAATAGCACAGGTGGGAGGGGCCGTTTGGAAACGGTTATCAGTACAGTCATTATCAGTACTATTCATTTCACAAGCTGTCAAGCATAAGGGCTATGGCTAGTTTTAGATCTTTTCGCTACTGGAAATTTACCAAGCTTCAAGAAAAGTGAGGTTTAGAGATGATCCTCAGAAGCACAGTCATCGCAGGACGGGGCTGGCAGCAGGCTCATTAGCACAGCCTGTAGTGTGAAATGAAGAGTAGAGAGAATGCCCTGATTTTCCTCCCATGAGAAACAGTTGCTTTTACATTTATCCTAAATTTACTCCTGAAAGTGTGAGTTGTAAACAACACAAAAACACACCTTTTATCTACATATAGAAATCAGAATCCTTTTTGAATGATTTGTGACAAAACCTGTTTAGCCTCATGAAAGAAAGCACATTGAAAGATCACTTGTTTTGGATGTGCTAGCAGTCATTTCAAACCCACAGATCCATAACTCAGATGCAGAGAGGAAGGCTGGCTTTAAAGTGAACTGCTTGCCCCTCTAAGTGTCCGCGGTGTAAACACCTTCTATCTGGGAACAGAAGTAGCAATGTGAAGCCTCGGATTTGCCTTCCACACTTGCTAGCTCCCAGAAAGAGGGCATGTCACATGGCCTCAACCGGCCTCAATCTTTCCCTTCCTCACAGCTGAGATAGTTGCCTGGGAAAAATTACTTCCCCACTGAAATGTAAGCCCACAACAGCAGGGTTGCTGTTGTTGTTTTTTAAAACTATTATATTCTCTATCTATTCAATACCTGAAACTGTACCTGCCATGTAGGGGAGGCTCGGGAAACGTGTTAAACACCCTGACCTCCATGAGTTCCGATTCACAAATGCAATTGGAGCTAGTTTGCAAACTAAAAGTCATCCTAATTTATGATAGATAGATCTCAGTATTGAATAGAATTAGAAGAGCAAAACCTAAACTGAATTTATTTTCCACACCTCCGTGATCCCAGGCTTTGTTTATCTAGCCATCAGGATTTCTTAGGGCTGACCTTTGCTAAGTGCTCGAATTCTTATGATAACTCAATGCAGCCAAGTACTAGGTCCATTTCCGACATAGGAAAGTGAGCCCTGGAGATGAAGAAATTTACTCACGGCTGCACAGCTCTAAGCTGCAAACAGGACCTCTGCTTCAGCCTCACCTGTAGTACACAGTTGTACACAATAGCAGGCTGCACAGTCTCCCAACACCACAAAAAATGACTTTGACATCCCAACGAATTCCACATGACAGCGAGCAGAATGGGACCGGTATGCAAATGTCTATTGTAAACATACCTTGTTTGAATAACAATTTATATGAAGTGCCAAAAAAATACCTAACTTTGACTCAATATTTCACCTTCTGTGAATTCAAGGAGAGAAAAAACTATGAACTCATGATGGGCGCTGTAAGATCTTTTTAAGAGAGGTTATACAGGACACATGGCAAGGTTCCATAATGAGGTAATTAAGTAAAACTCTACATTCATTGTAGAGCACTATCCAGCACTATGCAAAGGTGCCTATGCTGAGTGAATTGTGTCTCCTCTAATCAAAACTGGGTAAAGGTGGTATAGACCAGGAGACCAGGATTCAATAATGTGGGTAAATTATTTTTATTGTGCATGTAAATGTCTTCAACATTAGAAATCACATTTCCTCAAGCACTAGGTCCCCTTAAGTCCCCCTTCCGCATTTCCTTATTCCTTACAAAAACTAAACACTCAAACTGCGCCAATTCTAAAATGGGGGTGGGGGAAGGGATAACCTTATCATCAATGTAATGTACTGACTGGGGCAAACATTTTAAAGCAGCTTGTCTAAAAATTATATATTGCTGCCTTCCGTCAATCTCTGCTGGGTGAGCTGAGTGGCCCTTGGGCTAACAAACGTCGGCGACTAGCAATGCCAGTCACGTTAAAGTCAAGGGTCTGGCCGATTAAACATCGGAGACGGCTGTTTGGGGCTTGTTTTCTGAACTGCCCAGCAGCTGGTCCCATCATTAGGACTTGACTCGCACCGGTGCCTGGAGGGTGGGCTGGGGAAGGGGGTACAGCGATCGTGCGCCAGGCCGATCTCCGACAGCAAAAGGAAGGGAGGTGGCGGCTTCCGGCGCGAGGCCGGGGTCTCCCCTTCGTACCCCCAGCGCCGCCCGGGATCGCGACCCGTCCACCAGCCGGTGCCGCGGGGCTCCCCGCCCCTTGCACCTGCGCCCCGCAATGCCGCAGCCCGCCGGTCCGCGCCGCCACTTGCCGCCGGCTCCCGCCCGCCTACCTGGCCCCGACCCCAGCCCCGGCCCCGCCGCAGCCTCCGCTGCCGAAAGAAGAAAGCGCCGGGTCTCCAAGCAGCGTCTCTAGGAGCAAAATGGCGACTCCATGCGCAAGAACGGCGTCCGCGACGAATGCGAGGCCTGGGGACGGGGGCGTGGCAGGGGGCGGTGCCAGGATCTGGGCCTGCAGGGTCACCTGGCTCCGGATTGTGGGCGTGGCCCAAGCGAGGGGGAGGAGCGGGGCCCTCGGGCCAGGCAGTGGGTGGGGCCAGAAGGGGCGGGGCCGAGGGAGGGCGGGGCCGGGGAGGGGCGGGGCGGCGCCTCCGGAGGGCCCCAGGGCTGTCTCTACCCCGCTGCGGATGTGAAAGGGAGAAGAAGCTTAGATGAGTCTGAGACCTGGAATTACAGATGTCGGGCTTCAAGTCTTTACTGGCTGTAACCTTGCGTAAGTTACTGAACTGCATCGTTCACCTCTTTACCATTGACTCCTACTTAAACATCTCGGTTCAGTTGTCACTTTCAAGTCTTCCCTAACCCATCCACCCCACAAAAAAGCTCTATTTCTTGTAATTTCCTTTTTTTTTAAGATTTATTTATTTATGCATACACAACTGGGGTGCAGGCCAGAGGTGGTGTTGGGGGAGAGAAGATTCACCAGAGACAGAGCGGGGAGCATAACAGGCATATCGATGAAGTACACTGCTGAGGGGAGCAGCGGGCGGGTCAGGAGAAGTCTGCTGCGCCATGTGGGTCACCTCCCTGGCCCGGGATCGAACTCATGCTGAAGTGGCTGCTGATAGCTTCATAGTGCTTTGCACCTGTAGCACCACCAGGGAGGCCCCTCTATTCCACTCCAATGCAGTTCTCCACTAGTCTCTTGCTAAACTTGATCAACCCCTGCTGCCTGTAGATTTGCATAGTCTGCCTGTCATAGAGTGCTCGATCACACATCACTGACCCTCTCCAAGGGTCAAGTGGTTGCCATTAGAATATGTATCAAGGCTTAAGTGTAAGACATTACACATCGACATTTTTAAAGGGAGGAAAAGAATCCTTGCTCTAGTTTCCTAAAAGTTTCTCAGCAGAGTTTCATCAGGCAGCACAACTTCTCTTTCAAATGATGATGGAAATGAAAACACAGGCACTTGGCCCAGCGTCTGGATCTCACTCCCTCACCCAGGCCTGTCTCTGAGAAGCAACCCATCCCATCCACTTCCCTTGTATGTGACTTTCAGTTGTCTTTGGCACATAATCTGCTGGCCAGGAACCCATGGTGAGGTGAGGAAGGGGGGCAGGAAAAAGAGGCTGGGGAAAACACCTCAAACAAGGTCATCCTCCTCAAAGAGGCTGGAATGTGATGGAACAGAGCTAAGGACAGATGGATAATACAGTAACTGCCTCTTCAGCCCATATGGAGCAGGAAGTTGCAAGCAGAGTCCAGGTCCTGAGGAGAATAATTAAGCAGGTATGGGTCCAGGATGAAGGTAAGAAAGCAGATATAGGCCCAGGTCTGTCTCAGAAGAGTCAGAATAGGGGCTCTTGTTGATTCACCCTTTGAGCCTGAGACAGCAAGTTAGGTTACAGCTACATCTAAGGGAAAAAATACAGCAGTGACTCTGTAAGACAAGTTTATTCATCTTTCATATACTGCAGTTTCACAGTCTAGGAACTCAAACACACTTCCACCTTCTGTTAAGATTAAGGCTCATCCTCATAATTCAAAGTGGCTGCTGGAGCTCCAGCTATTATAACTACCTTTCAGACCAGCAGCTGAAAGACCAGTCCTAGGATGAGCCTTTTCATTTTATGGAGATATCCTGAAAGTCCCAATATATATATTTACAGCTTCTCAAAATTTAGTTCTAAGGTTATAAATAGCAGAAGAGATTGGGAAATGAGGTCCTTTGCTGAGTTTATCACTTCCTCCAGACAGTACAGGCTCTCATTCTTAAACATGAGCAGATATCATAGTGAACTGATAGGACTATAAAACACAGAGTGCTGAGGCAATGCCAGAGTTTCTGATTCATTAAGACTGGTGGAATCTGAAAATCTGTATTTCTAACAAGTCTCCCTGGTACACAGGTGCCACTGCACAGCAGTCTCTCTTCAGACCCATTAAGATTGATTTATTTATTCATACAAAACCTGGGGTACAAGCCAGAGGTGCAAGGGCAGTGAGAGGCTTTGCCAGAGACAGAGTGAGGAGCAGAACAGGCAGTTTGAAGTACACTGCTGAGGGGAGCAGTGGGCAGGTCAGGAAAGGTCTGCCTCGCCATGTGGGTCACCTCTGGGGCTGGAGATCCAACTCGCACTGAAGCGGCTACAGCTTGCTTGCAGTGCTGCGTCCTGACCCGTTGTGCCACCAGGGAGGGCCCAGAGCTGTGTTTCTAAGGATGCAGGAGAGAGCGGATGCTGAGGAGCCACTAGCCAGCCATCTCCATCACAGAATGGAGTCCAAACAACGTCCCACAAAGGATAGCTAACAGCATTTCAAGGCTCACTCCACATCCTTCATCAGATACATTCACACAGCACATAACAACTTTTTGTCAACAATAGGTCCCACATATGACGGTGATCCCTAGAAGCAGCTTAGAAATGTGGTGGGTTATACCATCTATTTTTGTGTAAGCACACAATGATATTTGTACAACAGAATCGCCTAAATATCCATTTCTCAGAACATATCCCTGTGGTTAAGTGACACATGACTTATTGAGTTATTTAATGTAACTTCATATTGCAGAAAACACAACTCTTTGCTATAAAGGAAAATTTGGAAGGATGTTTATAATTTTGTTTCTAAAGTCATTTGGCCACAGTGATTCATTCAACTTACAATTGACTGTGGTTTCCAAGAGATCATCTTTCATCATAGTTTACAGGGGATTGTTGCAAAGTGGTACAATATAAGCCACATGTTTTCCATTGTCCTAAAAAATTTATGAACAACAGATTCAACAATGTAGAGAAAGAGTATAATGTTACACTTTATGGGCTTTTAATGAAATATTTATTAATATTGGGTTTTGCAAGGTTTTTTTCTCTAATTGGATATATAAAAAAAAAGTTTAGGTCTCAAACATGAATGAAAGCACTTACAACAGTTATAAGCTGGGTGCCAAAATAGCTTGCCAAATAAAGCAGAAACGCTTCCTGGAAGCTATCATCATGGACCCTGTGGAAGTTTCTCCATCTATAAATCATTGTGAGAGGAAGCAGCTGGACCCTGTTCAATGGTAAGGCTGAAGCTGGGGCCAAAACAGAGCCTACAGGGAAACAGCTTCTTCACAGCCCAGGAAGCTGGCTGTGGGTGCTCTTTAGAGCTGTGCTACCTAAGGAGTCACCATTGTGCATGGCAATAAAGCTTTCTCTATAGGTCAGAACAAGCTGGATTCTGCTGCACTAACAAGTGAATCCTGAATCACTGTGGCTGACACTAACAAATAATTCTTTCTTTGGAGTGGTTCATTTGGGAGCTCCATTCCACATCACATGCACTTGACTCCCCAGTCTGGAAAAAGCCCTGACAAGGGATACTGCCTGCCTCACAGCTGAGGGAAGAGAACCACTCAAATCATGTACCCATCTTAGAGCTTCTGCTGAGAAATGACAAGTGTCATTTTTGCTCCCAACTGACAAAGATCCTCTCAAACTCTGCTCAAGCTTCTCTTGAGTTGTTCAGCTAGGTCTCAACTGTTGGATCTCTGCATTCATCCTGCATGTCCAATCCTAACAAGAACCATGTAAAAGAGACAGTAACCAAAACAAAGACTCAGCCTACTGAATGGGAGAAAATATTTGCACATCTAATCATCTAATAAGGGACTGTTATCAAAGATCTACAAAGAGCTTATACAACTCAACAAAAACAAAGCAAACAGCCCCCTCCGAAAATGGGCAGAAGAGCTAAAAAAAAAAAAAAACTTCTCCAAAGAAACGAAAATGGCCAGCAGGCATATGAAAAAATGCTCAACATCATTAATTATCAAGGAGAGGCAAAACAAAACCACAATGAGATACCACCTTACACCAATGAGAGTGGCCCATATTTTAAAAGTTGGAAAAAATGCTAGAGGGGATGTGGACTGGACCAGCCACTGTGGGAAAACTGTGTGGAGGTTCCTCAAGACACAAGATGGCTCTACCATGAGATTCGGTGATTTCACTTAGGGAACCTACCCAAAGGGCACAAAAATACTAATTCAAGAGGAAACCTGAACTCCTATGTTTATTGCAGGACTACTTACAATAGCCAAGGTGTGAAAACAACCCAAACTCCCCAAAACAGACAGATGATTGAAAAGATATGGTGTATATACACAATGGAATAACTATGTAGTGATCAAAAAAGATAAACAGATGCCATTTACAGCAACATGGATGGAACTGAAGGGATTGTGCTAGGAAGTAAGTCAGAAGGAAAAGGATAAATATCAGGTAGTTTTACTTATATATGGAATATAGAGAAATCATACAAAGGGGCAGAAAGAAGACAAAACTTGCAAGTTGATCATAATCTAGGAAATAACAGAGGAGAATAAGGAATCAAAATGGGGAGAAGAGCACAAGGGCCTATCGTGATGGTTCATGGGTGCTGTGGTGGTGGGAGAACTGCTGGGACCACTACACAACTGAGGGGAACCCAAAATTGTACAAAAATGAAAAATGATGTAAGAAAATAGAGGAATAGACAACACATTTTAAAATTTAGTGATTTTTTCCTTCCAACTATGTTTATTGAGGTAAAGTTGGTTTACATTATTGTATTTTTTTTAAGACTTATTATATTTATGCATACAGAACTGGGGTACAGGCCAGAGGTGCAGGGGGGGTGAGAGGATTCACCAGAGACAGAGTGGGGAGCAGAACAGACCGACTGAAGAAGTACACTGCTGAGGGGAGCAGCAGGAGAGACAGGAGAGGTCTGCCGCGCCTTGTGGGTCACCTCCCTGGCCGGGGTTGCCGCTCAGTGCTGTGCACCAGGGAGGACTCCATCCTATTTTTTTAGGCTCATATCTCTGCATGTGTGTATTGCACCCTATCTTCTGAACATAGGCTATCTACACAGGAGTGTACATATCCCTTTGAATTGGTAATTTTTGTGTTTGTTGGGGAGACACTCAGGAGTGGAGCTATTTTTACAATTCTCCATACCATTTTCCACAGGGACTAGACCAGTCTACACTCCCACCAAAA